TCAAGAGCCAGAGGAGAATTCTAGGAAGAGACAAGAAGTGATCAGGGACCTCAAATACTGCAGAATCAACTGGGAAGAGAACTAAGAAGGGGCTTTTAGATGTGGCAATTAAGAGACCGTTAATGACCATGAAAAGAACAGTTCCAGTAATAAGTCTTTGTGCATTTGTCATTGGGCCTGGCTTGAAGCACATGTAGGGGCTGTTACTAGTAGTGCTTTGTGGTTTCCAGAGCCCTCTTCCATGGTCACTGCCAACAAAAGCAGACTCTGTGGAACCCTGTCTTCAAGTTCAGTGCAATGCTCTTCTACATCAGATAGGCCCTCAAACTCCACTCAGCCCAACATCACATATCTTTAGGGAAGCATATACCCTAAAAAACAATGCCAGCAGTTTCTTAGTAGCATCTTTGGCAATGGCTGAAACCAACTCCTATCATTGACCAAAACCTTAATAGACTGATAAAATGTTATGATCTTGCCTCTGATTCATCTGTGCTGGCAGGCACAGAAGCCTCTTGCTACAGAGGTGACATGGAAATTCAGCAAATGCCCAGTAAGCAGCAGGCTGGAAGAATAGGCAGATAGTCAATTGCTATTACGGTAAGTAATAAAACATATTAAAGTAGATGAGCCCAGGACCTGGAAAACATAAAGATTATATATAGTCCTTATTAAACTTTAAATGTAAATTACTTTGGAGATAGAGGCAAGTCATAATTCTTTTGAATGGATCATTCATAAAATCATAGTATACTATGACTAAGATTTTTCAAGATTCAGCATCTTGATATATTATTCATTATGACTTTATAATTTGTCAAAACCATCCTTCATTTTTTTGTATTCATGAGCCTGGTTTCTAGAGAGGATGATTTTAAAGAGAGAAAACAATTTTTACATGGCTCTAAGTAATGCACTGGATTATTAATGTTTAGAGGTGCACAGGAACTATTAGAGTATTTATTCATTTATACCTCGCCATATTCCAAAAAGGATTTAAGTCAACTTAAAATTTTTAGAAAGTTAATATATATATTTCTATGATCACTTACATACTGTGTTAGGGACTGGGGGATGGGGAAGAAGTCATCTTTTCAGTTAAAGATTAAAGGGGAAACGCAAGGTAATAAATAAGGTTAAAGGAAATCTTGTTGGCTAACTTTCCAGGAGTATAATTATGCAACAACACTTAGGGCTCATGTGTTAAGCGTAGTCAGGAAATCCCAGCTCCAGGTGCCTAAGGATTGCTATTTATCCCCTTGATGACTAGCTGCAGAAATCTCTAGGCCCCAAGTTGATATTCCTGTCTCCCAACAGACACCAGACCTTATATTGGGTTGTCGGAAAAGTCATGACTCATTTTTGCAACAAAAAACAGAAAAAAATACGTCATGACTTTTCCAACAACCCAATATGATTTATCTGTCAGCTCTGCCTCCTGCTTCCAGCTACTTGCCATTTATATATTTGTAGTCCTTCGTTCTCTAAAGCAAATTTAAAACATTCTATTTCTTCTCCATATTCATTGAAGCCTCAATACACATCAGTCAGGTAAATTTTAAATTTACAGAGTGCTGGATCTAGAGCCTACAAAGAATGAAAGCTAGCATGACAGTCAAGGGCAAGGGCTTTCTGAAATAAATTGCCTAGGTTAAAAGCCCTGACCTGCTACTTACTCTGTGACCTTGGGGAAGGTACTTCAATTTTTTTATGCCTTCATTTCCTCATCCATGAAATGGAAGCAATAACTACATTTCTCAGCATCACTGTAACAGTTAAAGGACATAGTTCATGCTTAGTACATGTACATAGTAAGTATTTAAAGGTAGCACACGATAGCTGTTGATATTGTAGTCATTATCATAACTGATTTCTTAAAAATCTGTTCATCTACAGTATCATACTTGAATTTTGCAATAATAACTTAAGGAACTTAAAGTGTTATTAGCCCCATTTTACAGATGGATCCTAAGGCTTTAATGTTCATCTTGCCCAAAATTATAACAAGCATTCCTGGCAAAGAGCTAGATTTAGAACAGTGTTATGTGAGGGATTTCTCCTATGGCTTGCCAGTTAGATTGGGAAGTGAATAGGTTTCATCTCAGGAGTCAGCTCTAAACAGTTGAAATGGTTGCTCAAAGCCCTGTTTTGCAGATTCTCAAAGCAGGTCCAGGTTCATTAAGAAAGCAATGCCTAATTGATTAGCATTATTTGCCATGGGCTCAGGAGCATGGAGCAGGATTGCATTGTTACTTTCCTTTTTTTTTTTTTTTACACTTATCTAAAGTTTCCCATTAGCCCTAGTTTTTCTTTATGAACAGAATTTTTAGGTAAATTTGAACACATCTTATAATGAAGTTACCTAACTTATAGAGTAAATATATTCCTATAAATTTGCTAGAGAAGTATTACTATTTCTAAAATATTTTCTAACAAGGGCAATTGATGGGATAATTCTCTTACAAGCTGTTTCTCTATAACTCTCCTCATTTTCTGCTCTTGTGAGCACACAGATTGAAAAATCTAGTAGTCACCATTGAGGGTTAAGTTTTGAAACATACTAATTACACTTTGAGAAGTAATTGAGAAAACTTTGTTTTCATATATGAATCAAATACTAGTCTCCTTGACTATCATTTTAAATGCACACAAAAGCTAGGTTTCTATGGAGTTAACATATCTGATCTGCCTCCTCTGACTTAGTTTTATTTTAGCCAATGTTATTCCATTCCCAGTATCTTTGGTCTTATTGTGGGGAAACAGCAACATTTTATATATATATATTTTTTATTTTTAATTGGGGGATTGGGGGGATGGGAACAGTGCTGGGGAATTGGGGGAAGGGGAACAGACAAGTTGCTGTCCTTTTGTTCTTCAGTCTAGTTGTGGAGGACGTTGCTTCACTGGCCCAAGTTGGCACCATCATTGCGCTCTTCCCGGGCGAGGCAGATCAGTCACCGGCTTCTGGACGGCCACTCACTGCGGCTGCTGGCCACTCACTGCGGCTGCTGGCCACTCATGCTGGCTGCTGGCTACACACGGTAGCCCATGGCAACCCACTGCCACAGGGGCTGCAGCCTACGCCGTCGCCGACGACTCATGGCAGCCCAGCTCCAGGTTGAGCTGTTGTTCAGCATCTTAGCTGTAGAGGGCAGTGTCACTGGCCCTCATATGTGGGATCCAAACCGGGGCCCTCTGGCATCCCAAGCCAGTTCTTAACCATCGCGCCACTTGGCCGGCCCAGCAACATTATATTTTAAATGTTGACATCACCTAAGTGTGGGAAAAGCCAGAGTTGACTTCGGGGTTCCACCTTCTTTGCGGGAAGCTGCCTCAGGAAAATCTGGCCACAACTACCTACATTCCCCCAACTGCCCAGAATGGGCTTGGAATTGGAAGGCTGGGGTAGTTCTATTTCCCAGTATGAACTACCTTTGAGGAATACCACCAGACAAAGCTCATGAAGCATGAGAACCTGATACTCCATCGCCTAGTTCTAAAGAAATATAGGAAAAGTTCAGGAAGGATACACTTACAGTGGTTTTCTCATTTAGAACTCTGGATTTCACTGGACTGTTGGAGTCACCTAGTTTCCAGTTCTTGCTAGGACACCTTCAGGGAGATAGAGAATTTACTACCTACTCAAAGTCCTGGCCATCCCTGAACAATTCTGACAAATTTTTACTTTTGCTTTCTGTATAAAATGGCTAAGCAAGGAAGAAGTCTGTCTCTCAGAAAATAACATTTCCCATTCCACACACACTACTACAGAATTTGCTGTGCCCTGATTTCCTGAGCGTTATTGATTTAAATCAGAGTTATTTTATTTATATTCGATGTGCCCAGTGGGAATGACCAAGATTAAATGAGCATCTGGACAGTCTGGGGAATATAATCAATAATGTTGTAAATATTTTTTAGGGGGCCAGATGGACTCATGTCTTGTTAGGGAGACCACTTCATAGTCAGTGTAGAGGCCTGACCACCGCACTGTATTTCTGAAGCTGATGTTGAATAATAATGTATGTCAACTATAATTATATATACATATAGTCACGGGACGTGGAGTAGAGAGTGGGAATGGAGGGAGTCAATGGAATTGTAATAGATAAGCATATCGGGGGTGGGAGGGCAGTAGATGGGAGAGGGGGTTTGTTTCTGTGCGAAGGGTGAGAAGGATAACTATTGCAATGTTCTATACACCTGAAACTAACAATAAAAAATAAATTAAATAAATAAATAAATGAGCATCTGAAAGAGCTTTGTGGGGGAAAAAGAATTTTCTCCCAAAGAATGTAACTTGCACAGGTTCTGTGAAGCATGATCTCTGGAGATTTAAAAAAAAAAAAATTACGGAAATAATGGTTTTTAATCTTTGTGATTAGATTTGTCACTTTTTTAAAATCATGCTTACTAGTCATGTTTCAATGTGAATTACTTTTAAGAATCTATTATATGCAATCAATCTTTTGGGGTATTTACTGGATGTGGTTAGAGAAAAAAAGCAATGTTCCTTATAAAGTTCTTATTAAGTGCTTTATAAGATGTAATTCAACTATTTAGTGTTTTAAAAATAAAAATGTTAAGGTTTTCTCCAAAAGGTAATCTTGTTTTTTATATATTGTCTTTTCCAGGTGACATAATCCAAACATTCAGTTAGGTTTTTAAAGCAATTCTCAGCTCTAAGCATCTGTCCACAGCCTTCTTTCCCCGAGTGGGAAGACTTCATTAATTTTCTTTTCTGAGCACAATTTTGGTAGTTTTGCTGGCATGATGAAGAACATGTTACATAGATTCATGCTTTTAGGCTTCTTTCTCTACTTAACAATATGTTTGATCTTTCAATCTTTTCTTGAGATTTCTCTTCTGCTTTTATTAGTAAAGCCTTCTCTCTCTGGAAATGTTGTTAAATCAGAGAGACTTCATCTCTCTGCCATGACGAAAGCCCCTTAATACTTCCCATTTCATGGATGTGTATTTAATATTTTTGTTTGTTTCAGACTGACACCGATTCTTGGCATTCAGAAACATTCTCAGGAAAATGTGGTGTTTACACAGTTTATAGCCACCCTGCTTGAAGAATTACATTTAAAGAATGAAGACCTTGCAAGTTTAACCTTCATATTTAGAACCAGCTGTTAGCCAGAGTGGTGAGTTGAATATTATTTTGGTTTGTTTTTCATTTGTTGCCTGTTTGGATTCTTTTTTCATATTGGGAATTTTAAAAACCAAGTATAGACCTCATGATGTCCTCAGCTTGCTAAGGAAGAACATGACATCCCTTAGTTTTCAGCTGCCCCACTCACTTCCTGTCCTCTGTTGTAACTTTGTGCCCCACCCTTGTTGTTATTATTCCTCCTTTATAGGCTTACCACAGTTCTGTTTCTTGCAATCCAGGAAACTCCCACTATCACCTTCATACTCAAACCTAGACCATCCCGAATGTACCATTTGGTAAGTTTCTTCCCAGGAAGTAGCAGTTAACTTCAACCCAACTACTGCAGTGATCCATTCAGAGTATCCTCATCCTACTTCCCTCTTCAAAGAAATCACCCCCAATCCAGCCAACACCTTGGTAATCATGTGCAAATTAGCAGGTGAATTTACAAATCCGGCTTTGCTGAATCCTGACCCTACTCCCAAATACATAGCCCTCCCCTACTATCCCAAGTTCTTACCTATTTCAGTACTGCCCATCAGACTGTCCCCTCACTCCTCCTGCCGTAATCATTACTCTTCGTCTCATCCTCTCTTGCTTCTCATTTCACATAATCTCAAGTGCTAAGGTAGTTTTTAAAAAATATTGTTATTGAAGTATAGTTGGCATACAATAGTATATTAGTTTCAGGAATATAACATGATTCAACATTTGTATACCTTATGATGTGACCACCACACGATGTCTAGTAACCATCTGTCACCGTGCCAAGTTATTAGAATTTTATTGACTATATTCCCAGTGCTGTACACTACACCTCTATGGCTTTTTTATTTTATAACTGGAAGTTTGTACCTCTTATTCCCCTTCATCTTTTTCACCCATCCCCCACCTCCCCTCCGGCAACCATCAGTTTATTCTCCATTTCTATAACTCTGTTTTTGTCTTGTTTGTTCCTTTTATTTTCTAGATTGCACATATAAGGGAACTTATATGGTATTTGTCTTTTTCTGACTTATTTCACTTAGCACAATACTCTCTGGCTCTATCCTTGTCACAAATGGCAAGATTTCATTCTTTTCTATGGCAGAGTAATACCCCAGTGTGTGTGTATGTGTTTGTATGCCACATCTTCTTTATCCATTTATCTATTGATGGACACCTAGGTTACTTCCACATCTTGGCTGTTGCAGATAATGCTATAATGAACATAAGAATGATTATATCTTTTCGAATTAGTGTTTTTGTTTTATTTGGATAAATGCCTAGAAGTGCAAATGCTGGGTTGTATGGTAGTCCTATTTCTAATTTTTTGAGGAATCTTCACACTGTGTTACATAGTGCCTGCATCAATTTACAGTCCCACACAACCATTCCCGTTTCACCACATCCTCTCTACCACTTATTTCTTGTCTTTTTGATAATAGCCATTCTGACAAATGTGAGGTGGTATCTTGTTTGATTTGCATTTCTCTGATGATTATTGATGTTGAGCATCTTTTCATATGTCTGCTGGTCATCTATGTGTCCTCTTTGGAAAAATATCTACAGAGGAAAAATGTCTATTCAGGTCCTCTGCCCAATTTTTTTTTTTTTTTAAAGATTTTTATTGGGGACTTGGGGGAAGGGGAACAGACAAGTTGCTGTTGTTTTTTGTTGTTGTTGTTGTTGTTCTTCTTCTTCTTCAGTCTAGTTGTGAAGGATGTTGCATCACTGGCCCAAGCTGGCACCATCATTGCGCTCTTCCCGGGTGAGGCAGATCAGTCGCCGGCCTCTGGATGGCCGCTCATGGCGGCTGCTGGCCGCTCACGCTGGCTGCTGGCTACACATGGTAGCTTATGGCAGCCCACTGCAGCAGGGGACTGCAGCCTATGCCATCGCCGGTGACCCACGGCAGCCCAGCTCCAGGTCAAGCTATTGTTCAGCATCTTAGCTGCAGAGGGCAGTGTCACTGGCCCTCATATGTGGGATCCGAACCCGGGCCCTCTGGAATCCTAAGCCAGTTCTTAACCAACGCACCACTCAGCCGGCCCTCTGCCCAATTTTTAATCAGGTTGTTTCGTATTTTTTATGTTGAATTGTATGAGTTAACTTATATATTTTAGATAGTAACCCCTTATCATATGTATCATTTGCGAATATCTTCTCCCATTCAAGTAGGTTGTCTTTTTGTTTTGTTGATGGCTTCCTTCACTGTGCAGAAGCTTTTTAATTTGATGAGGTCCCATTTGTTTATTTTTACTCTTGTTTCTCTTAACTATGGAGACATATCCAAGAAGATGTTGCTAAGACTGACGTCAAACTCTTCTCTTCTAAGAGTTTTTTGAATTCAGATCTTACATTTATGTCTTTGAATTTATTTTTGTGTATGGTATAAGAGTGATCCAGTTTTGTTTTGGTTTTTTAGGGGGAGTTTTTTGGCATGTATCTGTCCAGTTTTCCCAACAGCATTTATTGAAGAGACTTTTCATTTCTCTGTTTGATTTTCATTTTGATCATTGTATATTCTTTCCTCCTTTGTTGTAGCTTAATTGACCATGTAAGTAAAGGTTTATTTCTGAGTTCTCTATCCTGTTCCATTGATCTATGTGTCTGCTTTTGTGCCAGTAGCATACTGTTTTGGTTACTGTAGCCTTATAGTATAGTTTAAAACAGAGAGTGTGATGCTCCAACTTAGTTTTATTTTCTCAAGATTGCTATGGCTATTTGGAGTCTTTTGCAGTACTATATAAATTTTATGATTATTTGTTCTAGTTCTGAGAAGAATGCCGTTGGTATTTTGATAAGGATTGCATTTAATCTATAGATGCCTTTGGGTAGTATGGACATTTTAACTATATTAATCCTTCCAATCCTTGAGCATGGTGTATCCTCCCATTTTTTTGTGTCGATTTCAGTTTCTTTCTTCAGTGTCTTATAATTTTTGGAGTATAGGTCTTTCACCTCCTTGGTTAAATTTATTCTTTGGTATTTTATTGTTTTTGATGTAACTATAAATAGGATTGTTTTCTGAATTTCTCCTTATCAAGTTCATTATTAGTCTATAGAAATGTAAAGGATTTATGTATATTAATTTTGTATCTTGCTACTTTATTAAATTTGTTTATTCTAATTGTTACATGGAATCTTTAGGGTTTGCTATATGTAGTATCATGTCATCTCAAATAGTGACAGTTTTACTTCTTCCTTTCCAATAAGGATGTCTTTTATTTATTTCTTGTCTGGTTGCTGTGCCTAGGACTCCCAATTCTATACTGAATTAAAAGTGGTGAGAGTGGGCATCCTTGTCTTGTTCCTGATCTTAAAGGAAAAGCTTTCAGCTTTTTGCCATTGAGTATGGGCCTGTTATATATAGCCTTTATTATGTTAGGGTATGTTCCCTCTGTACCCACTTTATTGAGAGTTTTTATCATAAGTGGATGCTGGATTTTGTCAAATGCTTTTTCTGTATCGAGATGATCATATGATTTTTATCCATGGTTTTGTTGATGCAGTGTATCACATTGCTTGCATTGAGGATGTCAGACCATCCTCACATCTCTGAAATAAATCCCACTTGATCATGGTGTATGATTTTTTAACGTATTGTTGAATTCGGTTTGCTAATATTTTGTTGAGAATTTTTGCATCTACATTCGTCAGGGGTATTGGCCTGTAATTTTCTTTTTTTTTGTAGTGTCTTTGTCTGGCTTTGGAATCAGGAAAATGCTTGCCTCATAGAACAAGTTTGGAAGTGTTCCTTTCTTTTCAATTTTTTGGAATAGTTTGAGAAGGATAGGTATTAATTCTTCTTTAAATGTCTGATAGAATTCAACTGTGAAGCCATCGGGTCCCAGACTTTTGATTCTTGGGAGTTTTTTTATTACTGCTTCAGTTTCGTTGCTAGTAATCAGTCTATTCAAAATATTTTTTTTCCTCATTCAGCCTTGGAAAGCTGTGTGTTTCTAGAAGCGTATCCGTTTCTCCTAGTTGGCCCAGTTGGGTAGCATATAATTGTTCATAGCATTATTTAATGATCTCCTTTGTATTTCTGTGATATCAGTTGTCACTTCTCTTTCATTTCTGATTTGGTTTGTGTCCTCTCTTTTTCTCTTGATGAGTCTGGTTAAAGGTTTATCAATTTTGTTTATCTTTTCAAAGAAGCAGCTCTTAGCTTTATTTATCTTTTCTATTGGTTTTTAGTCTGTATTTCATTTATTTCCTTCCTTCTACTGACTTTGGGTATTGTTTGTTCTTTTTATTTTTCTAGTTCTTTCAGATGTAATGTTAGGTTGTTTATTTGGGATTTTTCTTGTTTCTTGAGGTAGGCCTGTATAGTTATGAACTTCCCTCTTAGAACTGCTTTTGCTGCATCTCACAGATTTGGGAAAGTTGTGTTTTCATTTTCATTTGTCTCAAAGTATTTTTTGATTTCCACTTTGATGATTGGTTGTTTAATAGCATATTGTTTAGTCTCCAGATGTTTGTGTTTTTTCCAGTGGTTGATTTCTAGATTCATATGGTTTTGGTAGGAAAAGATGCTTGATACGAATGATTTCAGTGTTCTTGAATTTATTGAGACTTGTTTTGAGGCCTAATATGTGATAATTAGGAGAATGTTCCGTGTGCACTTGAAAAGCATTTATATGGTGCAGTTTTGAGATGAAATGTTCTGTAAATATCTTTTAAGTCTATCTGGTCTAATGTGATGTTTAAGGCCACTATTTCCTTATTGATTTTCTGTCTAAATGATCTATGCATTATGTGAGTAGGATATTAAAGTCCCTTCCAATTATTGTAATACTGTCAATATCTCATTTATGTCTGTTAATATTTGTTTTAGGTGCTCCTATGTCGGGTGCATAGATATGTACAGTTGGTATATCCTCTTGTTGGCATGACCTCCTTTATCATCATGTAATGTCCTTCTTTGTCTCTTTTTACAGTCTTTGTTTAAAGTCTGATTTGTCTGATATGAGTATTGCTACCCAGCTTTCTTTTCATTTCTATTTG